GTAAGGATTTTTGTTTTCTGATGTTGAGGTGTAACCCATACTGAAGGCTGTATTCTTTGATCATCATCAGCAAGGACTTCAAGTCCTCTTCGCTTTCAGCAAGAAAGGTGTTGTCATCTGCACATCACAGGTTGTTACCAGCTTTCCTCCAATCCTGACACCATATTCGTCATCATATCATCCAGCTTCTTGGATTTTTTCTCAGCATATAGATTAAATAAGGATGATGAAAGATATAGCCTTCCTTGACTTTAAATCACACAGTGTCTCCTTGTTCAGTACTAACGACTGCCTTTGCGTCTTTATACAGGTTCCATGTATAGACTTAGCATAATTTAGCTAATTCTTAGCAGATGGATACTTCAGTTATCGCCAGTTTTTTAAATATCACATTTGCATATATCTTTTTTTTAGTTTTTAAAGTTTTTATTGTGAATTGAGTGCAAGTTTACAGGGCAGATCATCAGTTTTACATTCAATAAATCATATACTTTGTTTCATTACAATGATTATAATCCCCTTTATGTACCAGTAGTTAATAGTATTTCTCTCTATTCATTTTAGCTCTTTAAAAAAACACACACACACACACTCAGACACATATAATAATTTAAACCACCAAAGGGCACATTCTGCAAGCCTGCCTCCTGGGCATTCCCTCTTCCCATGAATCTAGAGTTCTCAGCTGCTCCCTTTCTCCATGTCCCCATCTCTGCCTCCATCTCTGGTGTCGCTGCTTCTCTGGGTAGGGTCCCACATTCCACATGTGCTCTTCTCCCTTGATGGTCCTGGGGTCCTCTGTTTCTGGACTGTAGGATTAACTACTTCCCTGTTTTTGTTACAAAACTTGTACCTTTACAATTGCATTTGCATGTGTCTTGATGAATATTTGAAGGCATCTCCATATGGTAGATTCTAAGCAATAGGAAAGGAGCCTGGGGAGTGACGTGTTTAGTGTCTGCCTGCTAACCAAAAGGTTGGCAGTTTGAACCCACCAGCTGCTCCTCTGCTGGAATCACCTCAGCGACAATGTGGTTAAGCTATAGGACTTCTAAGTTAAAGGGCTGCTGTGCTTTCATACACCTTGTTTAATTATCCTAAAAAACAGTAGCACCCTCCCTCCAAAGTATATAAGAAAACTTCTTTCTTTCTCTGCATTTATGTCAACACTGGATACCAGCAAGGAGATTTGGTGGTGCAGTGGTTAAGTGTTCAGCTGCTGATTGGAAAGTCGGCAGTTTGAACCCACCAGCCGTTCCTTGAGAGAAAGCAATGGCAGTCTGCGTCTGTAAAGATTACAGCCTTGGAAGTCCTATGGGGCAGTTTTTTCCAATTCACTAGGAATGGAGAAAAGATTTCCCTGTTTTGATTTATATCTCTTTACTGTAAATGAGTTTGAGCATCTTTTCATACTTACCATATTACTTTTCCTATAAGGTGCTTCTATGGTAATCTGTTCCTTTGGATTGTTGTTGTTGTTGTTAAGTGCTATCAAGTCGATTCTGATTCATATAGACCCTACATAGGGTTTCCGAGGAGCTACTGATGAGCTTGAACCACCAGCCTTACAGTTCATTAACTGCATTAACCCACAGTGCCACACCAGGTCTCCCCCCATGAGATTAAAGCCTAGAAAACTCTGATGCAGTTCTACTCTGTCAAAGGAGTCATGAAAATCAACTCAGTGGCGCAATAATGACATTCTGTGACCATTTTTCTACTGGCAGCTGATTTATATTAGTTCATTTTAAAGATTTTCGACTGTTGCCATATTTGCTACATTTTGCAGTTACTAGTAGTCTTTCTGGAGTCCTGGTGTGGCACTGTGGGTTAATGTGCCAGACTGCAAAGCCATTGGAACTGCAAGGTCGGCAGTTCAAGTTCACCAGCTGCTCCTCGAAAACCCTATAACAGGGTTGCTATGGGTCGGAACCGACTCGACAACACTTCACAACAACAACAACAACAGTAGTCTTTCTAAGGAGCTCTGGTAGCGTACAAGTGGTTACGAGTCAGGCTGCTAATTACAAGGTCATCAGTTCAAAACTACCAGCTGTTCTGTGGGAGAAAGAGGCTTTCTGCTCCTGTAAAGATTTACAGCCTCGGAACCCTATACAGGGTCGCTATAAGTCAGAACCGATTCCATGGCACACAACATCTACTTCCAGATGTTTCATGCAAAAGATTTTCATTTTAGGATATAGATTATTAAATATATCTTTCTTTTGGATTCTGGGTTTGCTTTGTATTGTACAAAAATGTATCCTTCATTTCACCACTACAAGATTATAAATCAATTTAACTGAGATTTTTCCTAGATATTTTAGTTTGTTTGTTTTCTTGTTCACATGCAAATATGTGATCATCAGGAATATATTTTGGGATAGAAAATGAGGTAGATAATACAGCTTTATTATTTTTCGAATTAGTAGTGTGAATATAATTTAATAAATAATCTCTCTTTTTCCACTAATTTGAAATGTCTCCTTTATCATAAACCAAGTTTATGTTACGTACTTATATCTATTTATGGATATTTTATTATTTATTTTATTTTTAAAGCTTTTATTGTGTATTGAGTGAATGAAGACTTAGAGGGCAGGTCACCATTTTTACATTCAGAAAATCATTGTAATGTTTACCATCCCCTCCATGCACCATTGTTGTTGTTGTTGTTAAGTGCTGTCTAATTAATTCTGACCCATAGTGACCCTGTATAGAGTTTCCAAGGAGCAGCTGGTGAGCTTGAACCATTGGTTTTGCAGTTCAAACAACTTTGCATCCTGACGCATTAGCACCACACCAGGACTCCCATGCACCCTTAGCCAACAGCATTTACCTCTGTTACCTTTATTTATTTACTTGATGTACACATACCATATTGTAAATATATATTTGTTTAAAAGTCCAAAGGGCACATTTTGCAAGCCAGCCTCCGACCCACAGGCGCACTGCTTTTCTCTGTCCCTGGGCCTGTCTCAGTCCTCTGCAGCTCTGACTCTATGTTATCGCCTCCGCCATCATCTCTACTGTCACTGCCTTTCTGGTGAGGATCCCTCTCTCCTCTCATGTTCTTCCCTCTTGATGGTCCTAGGGTCCCCTGTTCCTGAAATGACAGGTTAACTGCTCCCCCCATTTAGTTGTACCTCTTGATATTTTATTAACTTATTTATTCTCCAATATCTGTCCTACTTATTATAGTTTTATGTGTTTTTACCTTGAGTAACAATGGCCACCCTCACTCCAATGATATTTTTTCTGAAACTTCCAAATTTTTCTCTCCTGTTTATTTTTCCACACAAATTTGAGTGCCATTTTATGCTAAACTTTAATTAAGTCAACACATGACTAGGAGAATGATCAGCATATCTGAGAAGATTACTTATTTACTTAATGGTGTCATTAGAAATAAATACAAGGGGGCTTCAAAATATTTGTGGAAAAAAATGAATTTAAAGATAATGGAAAAGTTTGAAGCCCCCTGATATATGTTAGAAGTGAATTGGTGGAAGAAATTACAATTTAAAAAGCTAGAGAAGACTCCTGGTGTGGCGCTGTATTATCAGCACTGGACTGTGAACCACAAGGTCAGCAGTTCAAACCTACAAGCTGCTCCTCAGAAACCCTACACAGGGTCTCTATGAGTCAGAACTGACATGATGGCACTTAACAACAGCAATACCAACAACAAGCAATGTATAAGTACGTTTGAATTGGTTGAGTATACCATACATGCAATGAGAGAGTCAGAATTGAAAGAAATGGCTAAAAACCATTCCTCTTCTTTTTTTTTCCCCCCCATCTTATTTTTATCTGAGTTGAGATGATGGGAGATGGATAGATGTGAGCTGTAGTTTACATCATAGTCGTTCTAAGTGAAGCAAACTAATTCTATTTTGTAGAGTAAAACCTGAATATATAATCCTATTTTCTCCAAGTAACTAGTCACATTTAAATGAAATTTTGCTCTTGGAGGGAAAAATAGCATAACAGCATATTAAAATGCAATTCCTAAAAGCAATGTAAACAGTTTTTAAGTTCATATGTAAATGAGAATGGATGTGCAAAACAAATTACCTGTCACAAATCAAGCCATCGCATGTTGAACTTGTGTCATTTGTGTGGGGGTTGGATGACTGTGTCTTCGTTCACATTGTTCCATTCCATCTTTCGCTCTCGTGAAACACATTGAACAGAAACTCCCCGGGGTTTTTTCCAATGTCGCATTCGCCTCATCACGACTTTAGCGCTTAAAATGGAGAAGAAACCTTTTAAAGGTTTCAGTAAGAATTATGGAGCCCAAACCAGCCTTCCTAGATAAGGGTACAGCAGGTCCGGTTCATTTTTTTTTCCCAGTTAGATTTGAATTTCAGATAAATAATAATTTGTTTAGTATGAATATGCCCTAAATATTGCAAGCTCTTTGCTTAGCACAGGTCTGTTTCAAGTATCTTCTGGTTCATACTTGTACTAAACAATTATTTGCTGTTTATTTGAAATTCAGATTGTGTTGGGTATTCTGACGTGATCGGGTGCATTCAGGGTGATATTAACCATGAACTCTGCAGGGTGTTCTGTAGTTTCATTTACTAAATCTAGCAACACTGTTTCTAGATCATGTGTGAGATCCCTTACTTATAATGTATTTATTCCTAGAAAAGGAAAACCTAGGAGACAAAGTGGAAACCCAACTAAAGCTCCTTTGGTTTAGGGTGAAATCTAGAAATGAAACAAATGTTAGTGCCCAGGACTCACCTGGAGATCTTGTTAAGTAAGTCTGGGATCGAGCTCAAGAGTCAACTTCTAACAAGCTGCCAGGTAATGCTAATATGGTTATTGCTTGGATAACATGTTGAATAAGAAGATGAGATACATTTTTCCCACCCTGCGGGGGAAGAGAGTTTACCAGAGGCAACTGCTAATCTGGGAAGTTTTAAAACATCCAAAGCAAGAAATGTTGGCTACATTCACCAAATGTTGCTCTGTTTTCTTTATCACAGGTGCTGGCCAGCCTACAACATTGTGATATGGTTTTCAAGCTTCCAGATCATTCGCCGTTTCTTTATTGAGGGTGTCCCTGGCAGTTGTCTAACAAAACCCCAAGTTCCGGGGCTCCCCAGCAGTCATCTAATTTCAGAAAGGCTATTCTAAAAGATGGTATCTGTTCTTTTGTAGCACGGTGTGTTTTACTCTGGTTTCTTGTTTGTTTTGTTTGCATTTGCACACATAGAACGAGAATGTTGACGTATAATGATCCCGAATAGCTCAAAAAGGGTCTCCGCATGGTCAAGCAGGTTTATGGTTTAAACCATGTTATTTTCTTTTATGAGACTTTTATGGTAAATGATGCAATAACCTGTTTTTTGGTAGTTTTTCTAGGAATTAAACATTTTATGTTTACAGAATTGAGCTGCAGACAGTACAAGACATGCCAATTTGAGACAGTGGTCTTCTAAGATGGGAGCATAAAAGGAATGCATTTCAGAAGCTAAACATCACAGCAAGCTCTCTGATCTATAACTTGTTTTTAAAGCAAAGACCCTAGTCTGATAATATATACTGTAATCCTGAAATATTTGTGTTGCTTACCTTTTGATGGTAGACATTATACCAATAAATTATTGTACCATTAGTATTAGATTTTGTGTACCTTGGAAGTTACGTCATTAATATAGGCTGTTCCATCAAATAAACCCTTACAATATCTGCTAGATTTAGACTCTGGGACATTGCCCAACGGGTAGGAAAACAACAGCGGGAAATATTTCACTCCTCATTTCCAAAGTTATTATCAAGATCTGTGACAAAGTTTAATCTCAAGAAGAGTGCTGAGTCATCGCCATGAGACCTGTGTGGCTTGCTTCTCTCCAGGCACTAGATTAGTGAGGTCTCAGGAAGAGACTTTCATAGGCAATGGAAGATCTTCTCATAATAAGGCCATCGTTAGGACTGGTAACTCCTCACCTTGCAAATTCTCCTTGAAAGCCTGAAGCACAAGTGTCTAAATAAAAGCATGAAGCCCATCCTAATAGAATCCTAAATGACATATGATGTACAAGCCACTGGTATGTGATCAGCAAGACCCTACGGATCCAACTGTGCCCTGCCCACTCTTTGTTTTACCACCTCTTTTCATCAAGAATTCTGGACCATGCACATGGAGAGGTTTAGAAAGAAACTCTTGTCAAGGACTAAGTATCTTCTGCCCTGTGTGATGAAGTTCAGCTGGCCAAGGAAGACCTCAAATTACTAAAAAGCATCACATTTTAGATCTCCAGGCTTTTTTTCTTTAAGACTGGGGAAGGGGAAACTATTTATTCTGCCTTAAAATGATGCAAATAAGTGAAGATTACAGTATGTGAATGTAAACACTCCTACTAGTTTAATGTAGTCATAAAAGGAGATCAAATAGATGTTTTTTTCTGTTATGTAAGCAAAAAAAAATTGTTTTTTCTGTGTCTTACTGAGTCTGGCTAACAATTATTTATTTACATGCTAAAGGGTTCTTTGCATGTGGGTTCTGTATGAGTGCAGACATTTCCTCATCCACTGGAGGCATTTTCACCATATTGTCATTTGGAAGAGCTGTTGTTAGAGTGAAATCTATACATCATTTCATTAAAAATTGTGCCTTAGAAAATGCAAAGCTGTTGCACATAGTCAGTGATGAATTATGGATGCAGAACACTGAAGAGAGATGAAGTCATTTCCAAGTTCCCCAGACTTCTCATGGAGGTGTTTACTGTTTTAGAAGGGGGGAAAAATTAAAAAGAAAGAAGTTTTGAAAATGTACAAATTAAGTCTAATATTTTGATTAACACCTGCATGTTTTATTAAACCTTTTGATAATGTGGATGTTTACACTTTGCATGATACTATGTTAGCAGAGTACTTTATCACGGATCATGCGCAACGCATGGACAATATGTTCATTCATAACCAGTTTTTATAGAATACTTTTTACGTGTGGAACACCATCTGTTCTGTAAGGAATATGTGAATATCACACATTCTCTTCTAGTTTCACAAACCCATTTATACATATTTCTTAGTTAGTCTCATTGTACATGTATTGAAGCTAGAATCGAGTCAAGAAAAATAAAGCCCCATTCTCCAGCTGCAAAGTGTGCTTTCCCATAATGAACGCGAGTCACCAGCACAAAAAAATCTCCAACATTTTCTAAATTCTAATTGCCAACTGTTTCTATTTATATTTGATTTATATTTCATTTGGAGTCTGTTACATGGCAGCTTCAACAGACTAGATCTTGTTTTTCCCAATGCAGCATAATGAGTATGATCTATTTCTTTTCAAATAATCTTTGAGATCCCGAGGGGAAGAAATGCTGTACTCGGTTGAGCTATAATGTAAATGTGCTTGTTTAAAAAAAAGTGGGGGATGAGGCAAGTGAGTGATTTATTGTTCCTGAGAAAGTAGATCTGAAACTCCAAATGCTTTTCCCTTCTCTTTCTTAAGAAAACTTATGGGTAATGGTTTGTTTTTCATTAGCAAACTTTTATGACATTTCCTCAGCCTTTCTATGTAGTGTTATTAATGCAATACCTATTATAGTTCTCAATACACAGTGTAAGATTTAAAGAACTGAAAGGATCCACCGCTTACGTGTGTCCACCCAAAAGATGTTACTGTTATGGGTGGGCCCATGTTCTATATCAGTTCAACTAATTTTCATTTACAATATTTATTCTAAAATGCCTCTGAGAAATAGTAAAAAAAAAAACCTGAGTTGTCTAAAATGCAACAGCTTTTATAGTAAATGTACATTTATAAATAAAATGCTCAAATCAATTTTGTATTCTTTTGATTTGGGGGGGAACAGGTGTTGGTTTTCTTAGTGGAATGAGGGAGAATGGACTTCTCTTCCTTGTAGCATTTGGTCCTGAGTGGTAAAGCCAGAAGATATCAATAGGATGATATATATATATAGTTTAGGTCAACTTTTCAGGAAAAACAAATATCTCAGCTGATTGTAGGGGTGACTGAGGAATTGCCTTCCACTTGAAGGTTCAAGGTGAAATGGTTAAGCAAATGACTACTAACAAAAGTTGGCAGTTTATCCACCCAAGGTGCCTCAGAAGTAACTCCTGGTGATGTACTTCCAAAAGATCACAGCCATTGAAATTTAAGGAGTACATGTTTACTCCATGGTGACATGGGTCACCATGAATGAAAATCTACTCCATAACGACTGACATTTTGTTGTTGGTTTAAGTTTTCATTGTGAATTGGGTGATAGTTTACATGGGAGAACATCAGCTTTCCATTCATCCTATCATATTTTATTTCATTGCAATGATTACAATCCCCATCATGCATCATCATTTAACAGCATTTGCTTCCATTCCCTCTGGGTTTTGGTTGTTGTTGGTTTAAGTTTTCATTGTGAATTGGATGATAGTTTACATGGTATACAACCATTCAAACAACCAACGGGCATACCCCGCAATCCCACCCCACCCCGTGCCCATCAACACTCAACCTCTCTCCCTCCTAGTCCAGAGACCCCAGCCCAGCTGCTCTGTCTTTGTTTGAAGCATTCAAACTTCCTTTGAAAAGGAGACCCACCCACAATAATCAGGGAAGACAAAGCAAATGCCAGCAGGGATTACCTGAAACACCCAAAAGGTGGACAACTTCCAGCACTTGCTGGATAAACAAGGCAGTCCCCTTAAATCCTCCATCCTGACCTTTTCTACACGAGGCCCCCCTCACAGCCACAAAGTGCTTGGTCTGTTTCACAGAGGGCCATCTCCTCGGTGGTGGAACCAAAGCTGTGCAGTGAAACTGACGCACTGACGCTGATGTGTTTGATTTTGCAAATTCCTGAAAATCTTCAATCACTTAAATACTTAATGTAATTACTAGTGTGCTTCTGTATTCTGCTTTTTTGGAACATTTTTGTAGGCAGTTAGTAGTTGCTGTTGTTTCCATAGAAAGAAAAGAATGCTTTCATCAGAGTTTTAATAGCTATCAGAGTAACAGTAAATCCACTGTTATTTAAATGAAAATCCATTCAACTAAGAATGCATTTCAAAATAAAAGTATGAATATGACATCTATAAGGAATGTCTTTATTAAAAGACATTTTACCTCAGATGTGTTGCACTAATTTCTTTCCAGTAACTTTCTTAAAGATCTAAGGACTGCTTAGGTCTGTAAGCAGTCCTTAGATATATGGTTTCCAAAAGCGCTCTGGTAATAGTGGTTACAAGTAGGTCTGCGAAACTCAAGGTCAGCAGTTCAAAATGCAGGAGAAAGATGAGGCTTTCTGCTCCAGTAAAGATTTACAACCTCAGAAACCCTATACAGGGTTGCTCTGAGTTGAAACCAACTCCATGGCATGCAACCACCACCACCACTGTAGAGTTTTCCAGGAGACTTGAGTTTGAACCACTGACCTTGTGGTCCAACTGACCTTGCAGTCCAGTGCTTTATCCCACAGTGCCACATTAAGACTCCAAAGGACTGTTGTGTAGGGTCCAAATCTAAATTCCACAGGACACCAATCCTTCCCCCATTCTTTGATGTTAAGTGCCATTGAGTCTGTCCGACTCATAGCGACCCTGTGTAGGGTTTCCAAGGAATAACTGATGAGTTTGAACCACCGACCTTGAAACAAGTTCAAACATTGAGGTCCAGCGCATTATCTTGTAGCACCACACCAGGCCGCCATTCTTTCTTAGGCAATCTGTAACTGAGTTACAAATTCAAATGTCTGTGAAAAGCAGGCATTGTAAATGAGGAAAGAGATTAGAAAAGGGTGGGATTATTGTTAAGTGCTATCAAATTGGTTCCAAGGGACTCTGGTTCTGAGGAGCAGCTGGTGAGTTTGAACCACTCACCTTATGGATCAAATCTACCTTGAGGTCAAGTACTCAAAAGTATACAGCAAGGTGTGAAAAGTTAAAAAGTAGGATTGTTCATAACTTCATTTAACATCACTTTATCAAGTGCACTTTTTAAAAATCAGTTTTTCTTATTTTGGTGAAATTATGCTTAGCCAAAAATACACATTTCAGCAGGTTCTAAATGTACAATTCAGTGGCCTTGGATACAAGGAGTTTCAGGGGCTCACCCAGCCTCAATGACCCCAGAAAAACTGTATTCCGTTGAGGAGTTGAAATTTAGCTCCACATTTCAAATGCACTTTTGTAAGCATTATTGTTTTACTTGTCTATCAGATCACATTATAACATGTGAGAAGATAGATGTGTTTCTATTATTTGGATGAGAAACTGAGATCCAAAAGGAATAAGGGACTTGCTCAGGATCAGTATGTTGATTTAACAAGACCATATATTTCACCACGTGAGTCCTGATCAGATTTGATCAGGACAAGCTCCTACTTAATTGTTATTACCAGGTCAGGCTACAGAAGACTAGAAAGTCATGAACCGTAGCATAAAAGATTTATTAGAGAAAGACTACCTACAGGTCATACATGCCAAAGGCAGCAGCATCTCACCTTGCTTATGGCCTGACAAGTAATTATAGGGAGTGATTCTTTCTTTTAAAAAGGAGGTGGGCTTTGCTGTTTGTGTAGTTCTGCTCTAGAGTGTCACTTTCCGGCTCTTCTTTTTCCCATGATGCACGCACATCTGGGATCCATGATGGAATCTAAGATTTCAAGATGGACTCCATTGCAGAGGCATCTGGTATACTTGACATAACCGGTTTTGCAGGTGCACTGAAAACTGGTTGTTGTTAAGTACCTTGAGTTTGGTCTGACTCATAGCAACCCCATATAGGGTTTCCGAGGAGCGACTTGTGAGCTTGAACCGCCGACCCTGAAGTTCAAACCGACCTTGATATGGAGCTGATGGTTAGTAGACTCCTCTGGTTTGCTGAATAGGGGAGAGGGCTCACAGCCCTGCTGGGTTCTGGACATACAAGAAGATAGTTGCTACCATTTTATCTCCTTTATATCCTGCTGTCTGACAAGGACGTAGATTCTATCTCCTGTCTACAGCATGCTCCTCTGTTCTTTGTATTTGGAGGTTTATTTTACGGTTTCATTGCTCTTTTACGATGCCACTTTTCTACTGCCCCAGTAATATTCCTCAGTAGTTTTCCTCCTGTTCCCTTACCCTAACCCTGTCACTGAGATGAAACATCTCACGGAGGGGCCAACTGGGAGGACCCGCTGACATAGCTAGACCATGGCAGGATCTGACCTGCACTCAAATGTAAACTAAAACATGTTCCTAGTAAATTTCCAGTTACAAATAAAGAATTCAAATGCACAAGAGCTCTGGTAGTGCAGTGGTTACAAATCGGGCTGCAAACTGCAAGGTCAGCAGTTCGAAATTACCAGCTGTTCCGGGAGAGAAAGATGAGGTGTTCTGCTCCCGTAAATATTTACAGCCCTGGAAATCCTGTACAGGGTCGCTATGAGTCGGAACCGACTCCATGGCACACCACCACAACCATAACCACCACCACTAACCTAAGGTCAGCAGTTCGAATCTACCAGTCACTCCCCAGGAGAAAGATGAGCCTTTCTGCTCCTATAAAGATTTATAACCTCAGAAACCCTAAACAGGACTACTGTCAGGTAGAAGAGACTTGAGGGCACACAGCCACCACCGCCACCATTCAAATGAGCAGTATTTTGTGTTTTTTCCCGCCTGAAGTTTGGTTTTCCTATTCTGGGAAGAAAGAATAGAGCTCTCTTTTGTAGCCTAGGCAGGGGCTGTTTTCTGGAATGAAGGCTGAGGAGTCTTTCTATGCCAATCTCAGCCTG